AAACTGTTTTTGTGAAAACCTACCCTGCTCACACAGTATGAAGTGTATTTGTGTAGGTCTTAAAGGTTTCATTTATTTTTGTATTTTTATTTTATTTTTTTTAAAACGAGCAAGTAGTAGGCAGGTCACTAAACCGGTAATAGATAAACACTGTATAACACATAAAACCCAATGGGCGCGCTTCAGGCGTAGCAGGACATTGTGTCACAGGTTTTAGTGACGCATGCCACTGAAAACCGGAACTGTGCGTCAGATGTCATTTCTCTTAATGTTAAAACTGCCCCTCCGTCTTTGCCTCGATGTCATTTTCATTTTGTCTTTCCTTTTATGCCTGATAAAGTAGCTTGCATTTACAAGTCTGTGGGAAACACTGTCTGTCAACAAACAAAAAGCATGCTTCAGAACTGTTTTGAGAAGGTGCTTAAGTTTTGATCCATGTATTATTACTATGAATTAGGCTACTACTACTACTACTATTATCATCTTGTGCCCTGCAATAATCATTTACTCAAACTCTCTTTTATGAGATAAAGGGGTAAAAAAAAAAAAAATCGGCCAAACATATCGGCCAAAAAATCAGCATCATATATCGGCCATCGGCTGCCCTGATTTCTAAATATCTGCATCGGCCAGAGAAAAACCCTCGTCAGTCGACCTCTATTGCTGACTCTTAAATTAATTGTTTTGCCACTTTTGCACTTGTTATTAAAAGGGTCATATGATGCGATTTAAATTTTTCCTTTCTCTTTGGAGTGTTACAAGCTGGTTGCTGAGGAAATACAATAACTTTGCGCTGTGGATCGCCGATTGGTTTTCACCGTGGACGAAGCGGAGTCCAGCCCGGAGTTGCCGCAAGCCTCCTTCGTCGAATGCTCACTCGAATGCTCCTCTGCTCACTCAGCCTGCCGGCCATTCCTCACTTTATCCCCCGGCCTCTGCTCACTCAAGGCCGCCGTGTGTGACGTTTTAGGGTCACGGTTTCAGTACGGTTCGGTTTGGGGAACCAAGTGCATGGGGCCAAGTGAATATACACTATTATTTGGTAACAAACACTTGAACAGTTTGCCTTACCTTCAGAAAAGCTTTTTTAAAAATCATTAAATAAACACTTTTACTAAGCAGTTTTTTGCTCTACATTGAGTGCCAAAAACAACTGTTATAAACCGTACTTTTAACATAAAAAGGAAGCAGAAGAACAAGGTAAATTCACAAATTATAGATAAATAGAAACAAAAAAAAAATCAACTGGTCAGAGGTAGAATGTTCTATAGGAACACATTCAGTGTTCTGAACATAGTTCACATGTTACTGTCATTTTTTCTGAAAATACAAGGGACTATTAAATATAATCTCATTATAGTTAATGTCCTTCAGAGAAATAAAATTTAAAGTCCAATTTGCTTGCTTGATGTTTAATTGCATAATATGAGTCACTTTGGAATATAAGCCACAGCACATTGCAGATGATAAAAAATGCAACTTATATTTCAGGAAATATGTTACAAGATGTATGTGTAACAAGTGGTTCCCCGCATTATTACAACAAAACGTCTTGTGTTTACTCATTTATTCATGTTTCCTGTTGTCAGTAAATAAAATATAATGGTTTCATTAACTTGTGCATTCATTACTTGACTAAAAATTGAGATGTATTCACCTTGGCTGCGTTTGTCTAGTGTGTATTCATGCATAGCTCTACTCTTTTAGCGCTCGTTAAGTAAGTACTTAATGAAATTAAGTACCTACTCATTGAGTAGGCGGTTTCGGACGCAGCCAAACTATGCAGGAAAGTGGATCCCGTGGGCCAGATTTGAGGATGCCTGCGATAGAGCAATAAAATGAACAGTGAAAGTAACAAAAGCTTGTACATTACCTTTTAATGGGCATAATTAAAGTCTGCGTGAACCAGAAGTTGCTGCTAACGTTATTTCAGTATTGTGACGTATTTCCAACTGAAAAAGAATATTGAATAGAAGGAGGGTTTTATTTTAGCACTCCTCCTCTCTGTCTCTTACTTAAGGATAGCAAAATAACGACTGGAGGGGCGTGGTTAAGGATATTGTGCCCAAGCTGTCAAACTAACGTCATGTGGACTTAGTGTGGTAAGTGTGAAAATAACTGAAGGAAATATCTATTTGCTAAATGAAGCCATCTAACATGATTAATATTCTTTTGGTTTCTGTACCCATTTTTTATTTTTATTTTTTCAAATGCAATGACATAACAGGTATTGGCATTGGCAAGTACCAAAAATGAGAGTATCGGTACCGGACTTAGTGTTAAAATTGATATCGGTGCATCCCTTATATACATATTATAATATAGCTCTAAATACAGATAATTAGTACAATATTTAATTAATCAACTTCATGCATGGAGCCTTTACAAAAAAAGAGGGGATGGTATAAACAATATCTTACTGCTAAGTTTAATAATAATTTGCTTTGACTTCAATACAGTGACAGTAAAAACCAATTATCACCAGAAAAGACACAGCGGAGTGATGGATCATATGTGCTTTGATTGTGAGAAGTACGGTGGCCGAGAAGTGCAAAGCAAATCACAATTCTGAAAACAAAATAACAAATTACAAACGCAAATGCAAGTCTAAAAAACAAAATAACAATTCAGAAAGCACAACAACAATTCAGAAAACATTATAACAAGTCA